CTGGGTGTGCGCAGAGCCAAAGTAAGAGTCTGTTGTCTCCATTTATAATTAGAATTGGAATCCAAATTGACTTTTCTGTTCTTTTTTCACCCCAAGTGCATGGAATGAGGCTGCAGCAAGGTGTTCAAAGCTTCTACTGGGATTTATTTGTATTTAGGCTAATTCTGCGCGAGGAGACAAAGGACACGCCCTTTGCTGTGTGCTGTGGCCTCCAGGACATAGAATTGGCCTCTTGTTTGGACTCCGTGTCACGACTCGCGTCCAGAATCGGGTCTCAGGTGTTGATATATTGTAATTAGCTTATTTTCTGGTAAATGTTTGGAAGACACCGACATTGGGTCTCAAAGTGGCTCTTTCCTCTTTTTAAATATGTTGGCTTTGTTGACATCCTCTTGGAACTTCTGCTGAGTGGTGTGGGCGCCACCTCCAGGCCAGCTCAGTGGTTGCAGAGGCCTCTTTGCGGCACCCTGGGAAAGGCCAACAAGCCACATTAGGCCAAGGTCACTCAGTGTTCACAGGGCAGTTTCAAATATTGCACTGAATGCATGACTCACAAATGAGATATGTCACATGGTTAAAGTATGTAATGGGAATGCGCCAACTTTTTTGTCTTTTGGAGTTAACCCAACGCTGATGGGATAAGATAAGGGATAAGTTCTATATGCGAAGCAGAGCCTCGCCCGGGCTATGGGGGAGCCCGGCCTGTGCCGACTAATGTCGACTCGCTAACAGTGTGTCAGCAGATGCTGACTCGGATGAGCTTAGTCCTTACCCACCGTGGTGCCCAGCCACTGCAGTAACCTCCGGCGACAATTACAACTTTTCGCGCCTGGGCGGGGCGCGAACCGCCGACCCCTCGGATGAGAGGCTGACACGTTACCACTGTACTAGCCCGGAGGATTTACTGACGGGTTTAGAAAATAAATGAAAATTTTAAACTCTGGAGATTAGTGGCAACGAGCAGACACTGAGTACGGGAGTCCGCTTCATCAGGTCAAACACCCCGCTCCAAGCGCTCTGGCGTGTCACTGTGGCGTACAGCCATACCCCGCAGACCGAGTTGTTTGTTATGACGCCGATAGGCATGGTCCGCCAGCATCGGGTTAAGGACTTTGTCTCTGCCAGGTGTGGTCCTGGTGTAGAGGTTTATCTTCATCTTTATATCTGCTGCTGCTGTTGTTGTTAGTGTTGTTGTTGTTGTTATTGTTGTTTTTTATTTTTTTTTAAATCAAATTTCTACAGTCATGCATTCTTTTTCTTATTTTTTTTTCTGTATCAGTTTCCTACAGCCATGCAGTGCAAAGTAAGATTTCCCTGTAATTAACCCAATGGTGACGGGTGAAGAAAAAAAAAAAAAAAAACTCTACGCTCTGGCAAACAATGGTGGCGCGCCGACTTTGAGCATGTGAGTTCGGTACCTCAGCCTGAATCACTGGCTTGCCGCATGCTATTTTTCGAGCGGTTTGTTTTCATGCCTATCGGTGTCACCCTTTGGGAAGGGGTTAACAGATTGACTGAAAATAAGACACTTTTATCTGTGCTATTACTTTCACAAGTTGTTATTAAGGGTAATCATGACAGTATGGACACAGGTAGATGGTGTATTTGTAGAGGACTAAAAGTTGTAGTCACTGGTACAAGAAATAATCTGCAGACAACTGGTAATGCCACAAATAAAGGGAAAAGATCACAGAAGGTGCTGGCCAAAGCCAAAGCCCACGCCATGCTCCTGAGTTTCAGCTCTATCTGGCTGTGCATACCAAGGTGAAAACAATGTTTCCTGGAGGATGTTGAAGGGCCAAGTCCCCCATCAACCCTCCCCTCAGGCAGTGCCTGAAGGGCACACCCAAACACGGCAGCTTAGAGTTGAGGTCTTAGTCTCTGGTCTGTGCATCAGCATTTTAAAGAATTCCCTTAATAAGAAAATTGTGCAACATTTCATACTATGGTATGCATTTAGATGCTAATGTAATGGTACTATAACAATCAAACACAAAGAACACTCACTAATACATGAAATAATCTGTGACGGCCAAAAATAATGTCAGAAATGAGGAAATTGTCATGACAAAGGCAAAACAAATGGATTAATTGACACTCAGTCTCAGAGGGATGCAGTCACTTTGTAAACGCTGCCAATAATTTCATTTATATCATTTGCAATGGAAAACAACAAGAGATTCATGCATATTACAGTGTGGGGGATTGAAACATGGAGTAATTATTGTAAGAATGGATAGCTGTGTGAAACAAAAAAATTACTCTATTTTATCTTATTTATAGTTACTACTTTCATTTATCTTTGGAGTGAATATTTGGGTTTCTGTACACCAAATGCTCGCAGATGGCATGAGTACATGCCATGTCCACTAATTTTAGTTTATCAATTGTGTGCCTAGTCACCAAGGAGTTAATTATAAGTCCTTCCTCTTAGACCTGTTTACCCCTTTCCTAATGATGTTATATTAATCATAATGTCAGTGAAAATAATAATAATATC